CAGGAAGGGACTTCCCACCTTCCAAAGGCCTGATGGTCACTATAACTTATGCATGTAAGAGGGCAAGCATGCCAGCCTGAGGCACTGGGTGGTGCCAGCCAGTCAAAGATGCAACAGAGGGCTCATTAAAATAAAAGGCATCCTGACCACAAAGTGGCAATTCACTCCTGAAGACTAAGAGTAGGTGTGCCTGGGAGCCGCACCCCAGAACCATGCTTTACATGTGAAACCTTGTGGTCATGACTGCCAGCAACTAGGGGTTCCACTGAGGAGGCTTTTCGGTCAGCTGTGGGCTTCATATAGTCCGTCATCAGCAGGGGGTAAGACTAGGGCTCCTTCCTGACCTTACTCTTCACTTGATTCTTGCTGTTCCCAGTTCTTGGGTCTAAGTGCTCATTGATGTCATGGCCCTTATCTTCTGGTTTTGTTCTCCGGTTGCCTGCGGGCACCTTGCTCTAGTACACAGACTTAAAGTGGAAGAGTGGTGAGAAATCCCTAAAGTTCCTTTTGTCAACAGGGGAACTGTGATCCCAACAAGTGTGTTTGCCTTTTTTGACTCTGATTTTAAAATCAGATATAATGTTTTATCTTTAATTAAGGTCTACAAAATGTTTAATATCTAGCAGCTTCGTGATGGAGAAAATATGTTATTCATTTTGGGCTGTTTCCAGTTTGCAAGGTCTTTGAGTAGCATTAATAAAATGCATATACTAACTCATTAATTAAAAAGAAATTCAGGAAGATGCCTGGTGGTCTAAAAGATGGGATCTAACAAATATTTCTTACATGGAATGGGTTAAATTTCTAATCTGGAGAGGCCAGGCCTGCAGAATTAGGTACAGGCCTGTCCTGTGTGGCATGTAGGTCTCCTGAGTGCAGGAAGGAGGGTTTGAAGAGAAATATCCAAGTCCGCCCCAGCTCAGGTTGCTGTGGCTGCCAGGGGTAGGGGAGGAACATGAGCAACATGTTTCTTTTTTAGGCCATGAGCTTGAGCGAGTTGTTTCAATTCTCAGAAATTCAATTCACTTTCTTGTTTGTCCAAAAAAAGATAGTAATACCTGACCTATTTCAGAGTTGTTTTGAGTATAAAAGAAAATCAATACACAAGAAGTGATAAGAAAAAAATGATAGTCCATAAATATGAGATACCGGGATGCATTTCTCTTTGCTTTGACAGTTAAAACAAAACATTGAGTTTCTTTTTCACCCCTCCCCAGAGCAGAAGGGCTGCTTGCAGACAGGTGCTTTCTGGGTCTTGTGTGTGTGTGTGTGTGTGTGTGTGTGTGTGTGTGTGTGTGTGTGTATGTTTGTGTGTGTGTGTGTGTGTTTCTTTTCTAATGCTATCAGAAATTGCCTTACACTGAGGAAACTAGGAGAGGCTTCATGAATTTGTACATTTGAAGACTTCTATTTGTCCCCAATGTTCATGGCCCTACTACAAAGTGGAAAAAAAATAAAAAATAAAAAGCCCAGATGATCTCATAGGTCTTTCTACCTCTGAAACAGATGGTATGATTCACATACATTTGACATAAATGTACCAGGTTGTGATGATTTGCCTCATTATGCTCAGCTGAAGAGTGGATTAACTGGCAGTAATATATTGAGGATGTAAAACATGACCTCTGATTAGAACAGAAGGTAGGAGTGGGCTGTTCCATGGTTAGAGCAATGAATTATGACTCAAGGCACTAAGTTTCTAATCACAGGTCTGTAAATTTGTGTGAGGCACTGGGAAGTCTGCTGGAGACCTTCAGACATACCCTTAATTTGTATGTGCAGGCTATCTATTCTCATAAACATTATAATGCACACTTCTTCTGAGAACAGTGTGGGTGATAAAATTAATGGTTAATAATGCTAGAGACAGCCATCCCTAAGGATTTCTGAATGCCTGTGATGCTAACAGTATTCAGACTGTCACCTATAAATGCTAGTGAAATGCAAATCCCATAGTTTCCAGAAAAATCTATCCGCTACTTTTCCCCCTTCAAGTCAACCATTTACCCTCTCTAGTACCGTAAAACAGACTGTGATGATGGAAATATTCCCTATTTACTCTGTCCAGCAGTAGGCACTGCTGCTTGAACTTGAACTAGGACTAGTGAGGCTCCAGAACTCAATTTTCAATTTGATTTAATTTTAACTAATTGAAATGCATATGACAATAAACCCGTGGTGTGGCCAGTGGCTACTGGCTACTGTTTTGGATAGTGAGGCTGGAGCCAAATTAACTAATGAATTAGTCAGTCTATCTTCAAGAGAGCTTTTTTTGTAGCTTGGATACAAAACAGATATCCCAACAGATATCCTAACAGATACCTCAACTGATAACCAAAGATGGAAGACTGAGAAGAGAATAAAAAGCACTCCCATCCCCTCTAGACGTAGTTTTTTTTTTTTTTTTTTTTTTTGCCTCTTTCATGTAAATTCTGTGACAGGAAACTCTGCAGTACATACTACAACAAACCCTGAGCTCTAACCTTATCATTTCCCCATAGCATTTCCTAGGCCCAAGACAGTCTGGAGACTGGCCACGCTCCTCAATCTGCCACCTTGTACCAGAGTACACTTACTTACAGTACACATCTGCATGGTGAAAAGCACATATTGTTCCTGCATACCTTCATTTATCATCAACCATCTTTTGTGTGTGCATATATGTACATATTTTTTATATAATATATATGTTTTTCTAAATAGTATGCTTATCAGGTATCATAAGCTCTAGTGGCATGGGGGTTTGGTCACTGTCATTCCCCTTACACATTGCCCAGCAAGTCTGATGCAATTAGGGGCTTAAAGAATGCTTCTTGATAATGAATAAGAAACCATTAGATTCAATGGGATTTTTACAGCTATTACACACACACACACAAACATATATGTGTGTGTGTGTGTGTGTGTGTGTGTGTGTGTGTGTGTATTATTTTAGTTGTCAATTGACCTGTATTTTATTCATTTATTTACACGTGGTGCTGAGAAGTGAACCCCAGGTCTCATATATGTTAGGCAAGTGCTACAACCCCAGCCCAGCTATTAAATGTTTTTGAGTTCAACACATTCCAAAACAATGTATTAGTGCCTTTGTAGAATTTGTTGAGAGGAGTGGGTTACACTTGGTTATTATGGGGAAGGACTTTGCAATTGGTTATATATTTTTCTGTTTGATGTCATGATTACTTGAATGTTAGGAAAAGAGTCCTGCACTCAGCAGGTGGTTGAATGGCTCTGAGGAAAAAAGATAATATGATAAATATATTAATGATCCCAATTTTCTTAATAGTGAAAGAGCAAGAAAATAAGTCATTTTTCATAAAACAATCATTATGTTCTGCTAAGGACCAGTAAATATGACTGAAAAAAAAGTGGGTAAGGAACTTTGCAATTTATCCAAGCTGGGAACTAGATACAAGCAGCATGTGAATAATGGCTTTTGTACCCATTGGCTTCCACTGTCTTTACTTATCTCTTTGCATGTGTGTGTTCTAAGAACATTTTGAAAAAGAAAATCATTCATTTTGCTCCCAAATTCATCCTTAACTGAAAGATCAAAAGGTAAATAAAGAGGAATTTATTAGTAATAAAACCCTTGCATTATTTTTCAGTACAGGGAATCAAATCCAGAGCCTTGTGCATGCTAGGTTAAGTACTCTACCACTGAACTACACCCCTAGATTTTCTCTCTCTTTTTCAAGTTAAAAGGTCTACAATAAACAGCACTGCAAAACAGTGATTCTCAAAGTGGGATTCTTAGAGCAGCTGCATGTGTATCACCTGGGAACTCTTGTTAGAAATGCAAATTTGGGGGCCCTGCCCTGCTCCAGACCCGCTGGAGCAGAAACTTTGGGGGTGGGGTCCAGCCATCTGCATTACTTAAAAATAAAACAAAACAAAAAACCCCTCCACATGATTCTGATGCATTGATGTTTAGGAATGATTGTTTAAACTAATTTTGAAATAGTTGATTCAGTGTTGTACTAAATGAGTATCTCTATAAATAAGTCTAACCAAACACTAAACATGTCCAGTCAATAGACCAGTTCTGAGATCTAATAGCTCTTGTGCTACCAGGGATCCGCTTAACCCTCCTCTCTGCTCTCTAGGAGGCTACCAGGGCTGGGGTGGGAGCTACAGAGCTGAGCCAACAAAACTCATCTTCTTCCCAGTGGGAGATGGAAGAATACAAAAAGGGGAACACAGAGGAATTGGATATTGGAAATCTTTGAATTCAAAGATTTCACAGAAATCCATTAATTTAATCTTTTCCCTTTGGGAACAAAGCAAATATTTAGCACTTTCTAATCACTTGTACACAAATGATAATCAAAAGAAAGATAGTGCTTATAAAATTAAAAATAAATCTTTTCAGAGAATTGCTTTATAGCTCCGCTGAGCCTGAGTACCCTTTGTGATGCGTACAGGTGTTGACAAAGAGCAGTGTCTGGATAATTCGCTGCCCTTATGTGTGTCCACACGCTCACTTCCCAGCTCCTTGATCCTCCATCATAACATTTGTTAACCAGAATCTTCTAATCACAGACACAATTGCAATTCCAGATTGTAAGAGGAATTATCGAGACATTATTTGTCCAAATGATTCGAAGGCTTTCAAATTTCTGTTGGATAACAATGTTTGCTCACGTAACAGACTTTATCTGCCCCAAGAACACAAGGACAAAAGAGTGTCAGAGGACCGGACGCACAATATTATTTTATGATATTTTTCACCATGAGACAGATCTCCAACCTAAGAAAAATGAAAATGCAAACTCTGTTCAGTAACTTTTTTCACTTTAAATTGCACCTCTCATCACGACCTATTACACCCACATAGTCATGTGCCATAGGCACTGCAGACTGTCTCCAACATTTCAAAGGCTCAAAAGCTATTTTTAAAGCCAAAATACAATCTAGGTTGCTATTCTATAAAACATTTTTTAAGGGAAGAACAAAGTAATATAGCGATTTCTCTGCACACGAGCAATTAGCCAACTCACCAAAAGATTGAATGCAGCTGTCAATGAGATCGTCCAGGCTGGCTCCTTTGGCCAAATGTCCCAGGGACACCATCATTCGGAACTGGGTGATCTGGGCCAGACTGGGATGGGAAGGGAAGGGGCTGTTGGCTGATTTTGCCTCTAGTCTTGCTTTAGGGGCAGCTCTGGAGCCATGGGAAGGTTTCCTGGGGAAAGAGAGAAGGCAGTGAGAGCAAGCAGAGCAGCTCCAGGCTCTGAAGGCAGATTGGACAGCAAAAGGCGTGGAGATAAAACAATTAATCCCCAGAGTTGGGCTGATAGAATACATACCCCTCCCACTTAGCAAATGCACCAAATGGACTGGTTGGCTGTTAAAGAGACATCTCCCCAGCAAATTACAGGTGAGATTTTAGGATTGTAGCTATGGCTCTTTGCCCTGGCTTGAGGATTGCTCTGTCCTGCTGTTTCCTGGTTCCCAAAGGGGAAAGGCAGAGGCAAGACTGTATCCTGGCAGTCCTTAGTTTCTATCTATATATATATTTTTTTATTTTAGCTGTTAGGCCCCTGACTTGGACCTTAAAAGAATTAAGTTGGCCTAGTCTTCAGTTAAGTTCATTCTTCATGAGCAAAACCAGAGATGTTACAGGTGGCCAGGCAGCTTCAGAAACATCTTTAAGAACTTTAAGGGAGAAGTCAAAGACTGAAGCATACGGAGTGAGGAATCGTGGTGGTGGTATTTAGATTTTAAGTTAGCTCTGCCTTTATTACAAATATTGGCTAATTTTAAGAAACGGTGTCATTATTGATAATACAGGTAGTCATTATGGGCCATTTTAATCATTACACATTATTCCATGAAGTACTTGCTTGGGTCCTTAACAATTAAAAAAGAAAGCTGAGCTAAGAGAGGTTTGTTCCAGAACTAAATGTAAAAAGAGAAGTTTGGATCTGGATCTGGATCTGGATCTGGATCTGGATCTGGATCTGGATCCAGGATCCTAAGGCCCTTCATTTTCCTCACTTAGTTTACCTTTGGTCATGGCCTAGTCTGTACGAGTTATTTTGCAAAACTCTCACGAACATTAAGTATTTTATTTTCCTGTTTATTAAAAAATACATTCACACAGATACATATCTGAAATCTCTTAAGGGCATTGATAGGTGTTGCTGCTCATAGCTTTTTTAGCATGTAGCTAATTTTCCTTCCCTATTGTGGCTTTTTTCCCAATTTACTCCCAAAGAAGAGAAAGGACAAAGTGAAAGAGACATATACCCCATAACTGTGACTTTGTGCTCATCACATTTTATGATCAACACAAAATGGAATCAATTAATCGGTTAGTGCTTATTCTATGAGCAAGACATTGCATTAGTAGAGGGACCACAGTGAGATAGTATACCTGAGGGTACTTTGTATGCCAAAAAATATGCTCATTGTATGTTAGGTGTTATGTAAAGGCAATCTAGAATTTCTTTAATATATATATAAAAAAAACCTAATTGGGGAATCAGACTGAGATAATAAAAAGGTAACTACATAATTCTTAAGTAAGTGTCCTGTGAGGGCCAAGGACAAGAAATACGATGTCCTCAGAGGAGGGAGAAGCAGTTTCTGGGTGAATGTTGGAAGAGCTTCTCTGACAAGATAATATCTCACTCAGAAGGGGCTAAGTGCTTAGATCAACAAAAAATGTTGAGCACACCTGGGTTTTGGAAAGCCAGCCTGCCATAAGACAACTCTGAACACGGGCCAATCAGTACCAGGCCAGTCTCAAGGAGGGAGCACCTCGGGGCTTCAGGTTCTGTTTCAAACTAGCTTTGGGACACTGGTCTGTGGTAGCAATAGGCTCTGTTCCAACCTGGAATGAGGCCAATTAAAACAAATCACCAATTGGTTACTGAGTTTTGCTAACCCAAGGCAGTGATTCCTGAAAGAGTGAATTGATGACTCAAACAAGTTTCTGGCCATTACTGATTTTTACTCAGGTCCTATGATAGCCTCAGAATAAAATGATAATCTAAAAACAAAACAGTAATGGCCACCATGAATTGAGTACCTATGCTATGGGGGCACTGTGTTGGGGATCTGCATTGTCTCTGAAGTTGTTATTTTCATATCATGATACTCAAGCTGAGTTAGAAAAGAGCCTAAAGGTTGCACAACTTGAGCTGGATTGGGATTTGTTCTCGGAACCTCCATGGCTTTAGAATAAAAAATATTTACTGTGCCTTCAATTGTGAACCTTCCACTACATCAGAATTGGCAAGCAGACTCACAGAGAGGCTGAAAAGGTTAATTCAATGTAAAACAAATTGAAGCTTTCAAAAACATAGCTTACAATACAGAGGCTGAATCTCTGTCCTTATTCCTTCTTCAGGTCCTTGAAACTCTCCTCAGAACCTCAGGGCTGGATGGATTTTTCACATTCATTTTCCAAACTCCTTGCCTATAGATATAGAGGTCCAGGCTTGGAAAGGCAATGTGACTGTCCACCAGGGCAAAGCAGTCTAAAACCCAGCCTCCTAGGCCCCATGCCATATTTCCCAGCTGGGCTCCCTTCCCTTCTTGGAAGTACTGACAATTCCCTAATCCTGGCCCAGTGTAGGGATTAGTTAGCTTTCTGCTTCACCTGCTGCCTTAGGTGCTGCATTTAGATGACCTCCAAAGGCAGAGTAGGAGAAAGACATAAGTCCTGACCTTCCTGATAAAAGTCTCTTTTCTCTTTTCCACAGTAGTTTTCCCTAGACTCTGGAAAAGAGGCAAAAGCACAGCACATAGGCACCTGTCCTGCTTTGCAAACAGAGCTCATCCTGCTAAAGCTGGGAGGTGACTGGAGATTCAGAGAAAATTCGATTTTCTTTCTTAGTTGGTGGCATTGGTCAATCAGGACTTCTTAGCCTACTTCCGGTCCTTTGGGAGTCAGTTCTTCATTTGCCTGGCCCTGCCAGGGCTTTTTCTCTTGCCAAGAGCCCTTTAACTAAGTGTCACTCTTCCTTCATCTCCTGTCATCCCAAGACCCTCTTAAGCACCTCTCTAGAATCCCAGTGGTGGACAGGAGGAGTGCGGGCTCTCATTCAGAAGTTATATGGTTTGCTAACCAAGGATTTGGAAACTTCTCTGGCGCAGGGGCAACCAAGCGGTGCCACCTCCGCTTGTTTGCTCGCTACAAACGCCTTTGGCCGTTTTGGGCAGGACCGAAAGAGAGCGCCAGGTGGCGCTGCCAGAGCCCCGCGCCAGCAGCAGGTGCTGGGGGCGCGGAGAGTCGGCGAGTGGGAAAATGGGAGTTCGGGTGTCCGGGGAAAATTCGGGAGGAGGTCGGAGGTTGGGTACCACGTGGGTGAAAGGCACTGGTCCTAGCCGTTCTGGATCCCTCCAGGCGAACTCGGCCTCGCAGCCTCACCGCCAGCACAGCCCCAAATCCCTCCTCCACCCCCGACGCGCGACTTGCTAGGCGCTCGGGACCCGTTCTCCTCTTGCGCGGGTCTCCTCGGACGTCAGCTGAGACCCCGGCTCCCCGAGGTCCTCCATCCCCCTCCAACAGCTTCCCTTGGGAGAAAGGTCCTTGTCGCCCGCAACTCCCATCTGCCCATCAACAAGAGGATCGCAAGGGCCGCCTGCGCAGCTGTCCTTTCCCCCCAGAAAGGAAACTGACGGTCCCTAGGGCGCCGCCACCTCTACTCACCGCGGAGCCTCTCGCGCCTTGCCCAGGGTGCCCATGGCCGCGGCCGAGCGCCTGGAGCCGGCTCACCTAGCGCGGCGGGACGGGCTCGGCGGGGCGCGGCGCATCGCCACGGCCGCCGCCTCCAGCCCGGCCTCTCCGCCCCGGGTCCTCGCCGCCCCCGGCCGCCCGCCTGCAGCTCTCGGAGCCAGGCGAGCCGACAGAGGCGCACCCGCAGGCACAAACTTTGTGTGAGCGCGCCCCCTCGCCTCACTCGCGCGCGCGCGCGCGCACACACACTCGCCCGCACGAACCACCTGACAAACGCTGATGTTATCGGCTGTAGGAAATGTGTAGGGCTCTGAGCTCTTCTACGAAACCTGCCCCCATTACTCAGTAGCGCCCCAAGGCCTGCGCCTCAAACAGATCTCTCTTCACACCCGTCGACTGTCGACCTCTCCCAGGCGAAGGGTTAAGTCAGGGAGAGCAGCGGAGGGGGAAGGCTCGCGACTCCCTTGAATCACCCCTGTCCCGGGCCCACGTCCGCTCCTTACAGAGGAGCCGTGAGTCCAGCTGTCTACCACCTGAGCCCGAGGGAGCGAGCTTCACCTAGTGGCTCTCCTGGGACTCCTTCCCCCACCTTCGCAGACCTCTCTTGTACACATCAATCAAAGCACAGAGTCAGGGCTGAGAACTAAGTCAGCTGTGGAGTTGCTGGAACCTCGCATTTGGGTCTCTTGGTAGTAGTTCGCAAGATCTGGCCATCGATGTGTGCGCTGCTCCCTGGAGGAGGACTGCAGGTGTAGAGCTGCGCTCGGGAGGCGAGATCCGTATCTGGACCCGGAGAGAGACAGCTGCCTGGAGTTCGAGGGTGTGGGTGATGTGGGAAAAGGAGCAGGGGTGGAAGAGTGGGAGAGCCTTCTTACAATGACAAGAATGGCGGCCCACACCACTCCCCACCAGCAGATTGTCCAAAGGATGGTAATAACAATAGCTGATACTGATTGTGTTGTGTGTTTTCTATACCTCAGTTAAACCAATCCCCCAATCACAAAGAGGTCACCCTTTAAGAGATGAGAAAAAAAAAAAAGGTTTAGAGAATACCATGCCTCAGATCACACCACCAATAAACAGCAGAGAACTGAGATCTGCCTACTACCTATAATCCCTTCCAGGGTTGTCCTAATAGCACTCTCATTGTCACATTCCCTAACTCTAGCCACAATGATAGTTGTCTTCCCAGTCACAGGGTTCTAGACTTTAAGACCTCTGTTTGCAATGTCACTTACATATTTCCTTATATTTATACGCCACCTTGTTGTAAAGAACAATTTAAGAGCACTTACAAGAGTACATGACCTCAAAAAGAACTGTGTAAAAATGAAGAATAAGGCACATAAAATGGGACTGGGAATAAACATGAGTTGAAAAACTTGTACCCCACAGGGTTCAATACTTTTGCTTCAAGTGGGGCCACAATATGTGACAGCCCCCTCCCTCCGCCCCCCAACCCCCCTGGCAAGTTCTCAAAAGGAATTTTTTTTGTTCCTTTGGTGCTGGGGATTGAACCCAGGGCCTCCCACATGCTAAGCAAGTGCTCTACCACTGAGCCATGCCTCCAGGCTTTCTGTTCTTCTTGTTACAGAGACCATAAATATATTTCTTCAGAAAACCCTCCTGAACACTGAGTAATATGAAGAACCAAGTCCTTGGTCACAGCCAGAGAGAAGGGCAGGCAAAAGTTCAATAACTATTAATTAATGACTCTATTCCTCACTAAGGGGCTCTAACTTTCACAAGGTTTTAGTGCTATTATACCTCCTCTCTCATGTGAGCCCTAAAACACAGACAAGCAAAAAATGTGGATGAAGATGGTAGAGAGTCATATCTTTACCTATGTTCATATCTATTTCCAAAAACAATCATGAGCGTGTGGGCTTTGGTTTTGTTCAGAGATCTTCTCTAACTACCAGGTACACAACCTTTCACTGATTTCGTCCCAGAGTGAGCTCTTTGCCATTGCCCTTCAGAAAGTTAAATGTTACTTAGACTTCATATTGCCACATAATATCCCATGCCTTTGTCTTATCTCTAGAATCATCTTATCTTTGTCTTATCTCTATATTGTAAATGATGAGGTCAAGGATCAGGTCTTATGCTTTGTTAGCATCCAAAGAACAGCTAGCTTTGAGCAACACATGTGGGTCATAAACTGCTATTGATTCAGTTTTGCAATGTGGAATATAATGATCTCAAAGAAGAAAATTACATCCTTGCTGATTATTTCTGAAGAAAGGATGTGTGTTTTCCTTAAAAGTGTCTTATATACAGAAAAATTGGTAATCTTCCTGGAGCTCTAATCTCTAGGTTTCATGGGACCCCCTTCACCATTGCTCCATTGCTTCTGTTGAGAATAGAGCCCCTCTGTACTCAGTCTCTGGACACCAAAGGCCTTGTATGTGGCAAGGAAATAATCCAGACTTATACTGTATATACATATGTATATATGCCAAGTGACTAATCATATATCTTTATGTAAATACATGATGATATTTATATGTAAGTATGTGTTTATGTATACAGATAGGTTATTTGGTGTATACTCTTAATATTAAACACACATACAGGCAGTTACATACACTTAAATACCTAAATTCCACAAAACATAAGTAGTACAAGTTGAGATTATTTCTTCATTCATGAAATGAGTCTTGCTGAGTTAAGAAAGAAGCCTAGGGCTGGGGATGTGGCTCAAGTGGTAGCGCGCTCACCTGGCATGCGTGCAGGCCAGGTTCGAGCCTCAGCACCACATACAGAGATGATGTGTCCGCCAAATACTGAAAAAAAAAAAAATATTCTCTCTTTCTTAAAAAAAAAAAAAAGAAGAAAGAAAGAAGCCTACATAGTCTCCACAATTTTTCTTGGGCTTTTTGAAAAATCTACACTTCACCTGTATTTGATTCTGATTCTGGGCCCACCTGAGATTTTTGGTTTTTAAAAAATTCAGCTTTTTTGGGGGCTGGGGATGTGGCTCAAGCGGTAGTACGCTCGCCTGGCATGCGTGCGGCCCGGGTTCGATCCTCAGCACCACATACCAACAAAGATGTTGTGTCCGCCGAGAACTAAAAAATAAATATTAAAAATTTTCTCTCTCCTCTCTCTCTCTCTCTCTCTGTCTCTCTCCTCTCTCACTCTATCTTTAAAAAAAAAATTCAGCTTTTTAATTGAACGTATTACAAAAGAAATACGTTGAAAAACCAAAGCCCTTGACCTCATCAGATTCCTCTGATTCTTCTTTCTTTGCCTCTACTTTCTCCACAGTGGGCCCAGTCCCAGTAATAGAAGGGCAGGATCTCCTTCTGGTGCAAAGCTGCAGCTGGAGTAGGCCTACCTCCTCGATTTTTGCAGTTGAGGCTCTCAAAGGTGAATATTGGCCAGGCTTTCTGTAAATCATACAGGGCAAAAAGGTTTAACATTTACAACAGCTACTTTGCCAAGGGCATTGATCTTCTGTGGCGGTCAACTCAAGTGCAGGATTCGAGCAGAATAGATACAAGCAAGCTTGGAGACCAAGGCCATGGTTCAGGGAATTCAGGGCTGTCATTGTTGGATGAAGTGAGAGCCTCACCCCAACACAGCCTTAGCATTCTCAGAAGGACTAGAACCTTGGCAGCAGCCGAGGAAAGGGTATACCTGAGGTATTCTGGATGCTTCTACCTGAGCAATGCAACTTTTCTAAATATCTAAAAATTAGTAATTAGCTTTGTCTTGCTCTTCATCCTCCATAGTCTCCCTGGTGTATGAGGCCCCTCTGGCCTTGAGAACAAGGGTTGGTTTTGCTTTTCTTGTACCCTTGTTTTCTTCTTTTCTTCCTCTCCTACTTATTTGATAGGCGAGAGTCAATGTTTCTGTAACAGCTAAGTAGGGGCAATTAAAGTCTTTCTGTCCATCCTTTGGGTGAGGCCATTCCTCTGGGCTCTTTCTCTGTCACTTTTCCTCTTTCCAGTCAGGACCTTTTACTTAGATTGGTGGAGATATATTAGTCAGCATTTCCTTGATGTTACCAAAATGCCTGACACGAGCAACTTAAAGGAGGAAAGGTTAATATTGGCTCACCGTTTCATCCACTGTCTGCTGTCGCCATTGTTTTGGGCCTGAGACAAGGAAGAACATCAGGGTGGAAGGGTGTGGCAGGAAAACTACTCAGCTCACGGCAGTCAGGAAGCAGAGAAAAAGGTGGTGGTCATGGAGAGAAGGGTTCGGGGACAAGATATAGTCTCCTAGGACATACCCCTCAGAGACCTACTTCCTTCAATCAGGTCTAGTCTTGGACACTTCCCAATAATGCCTTCAAATTACTCATCCGCTGGTGAGGTCAGAGCCCTCATGACCCAATCACTTCTCCCATAGCCCCAGTTTTGAACACTGTGGTCTTGGGAGGGGGGCACTTCCAAATTTAAACTATAATAGGACAGTTATAGGTGCAGCTTCTGACATTATATTAAGGTACATGTAAAACTGAACACAAGCTGCTTGAATTTAAGGTACATGTAAAACTGAACACAAGCTGCTTGAATCAATAATGACTCTTACTACATGTGCTTCTGCAAGATTAATCCTTATTGTGGTTCCTTCAAATTTATTATTTCTCAATGGCATTTTAAAAATGCTATTTAGAATCTATTAAATCAATTCATTACTGGGTTGGGATTCTAGTTTTAAAAATCCAGTTCTTGTTCTGCCCATCATGACATCAGTAAGTCTTGATAATTACTTCTGGAAAGGGAACCAAGTGGCTCTGGATAGGAGGGATTCTTCATTGTTCCCACTTTATAACTTTTATTTTTCTATTTTTGCATGCATCTAGTCAATAAATAAATGCTATTTCAAATCATTCCAGCACAGAACTTAACTGCTTTCTGATCTTGCCTGAATGGGTTTTAGAAACCAGAGGCTGGAGCCACAAAATTAAGTTATTGGCGAATCTACTTTATTCAAGTTTATCTGATGAAATTCATCATTTCTTGCAAGTGTTGGAATGACAGAATGGCTTATAGAGTTAAAAGTGTGAGGTATGGAGTTAGTTTGAGTTTGACTCTCAGCCCCAATGCTTCATAGTGATGTGACTTTAAGCTGGTTAACAACTTTCTTGAACCTGTTTGTGAAAGTAGGTACAAGCACTGCCCAGCTTGTATAGCCTTGCTGATGATGGCACTGAAGGACCCGTACCTCACACGTGGTAAGCACTGAAGACACGCTA